ACACACACATGCACACACGCACACTCGATACCCGTCATTGTTTGCCAGCATTTCACAGTTTTGTGCTCTTCCGTTTCCGATAATCGGATATGGTTAAATAGTTGGCCGTGGGAGCAACGAGTGCCAAACACAAAAAAATGCATGTTGACTTAGTCAGATGCTATTGAAAAAAAAAAAAATTTCAGTTCGGTTCCGTGCAATAAATTGAGCTCAAAATGAGTCTGAGCTTGTGAACTGGGGAAGACAAAAAAAAGTAAAAAGCAGATTAATAAAATAATTGTATGAGAAAAGAAATACTTGCGAATTGCTAATGTGACTCAACGAATAGCGAGAAGCGAGTGCAAAGTAATCAATAAGTGAATAACTAGTAGTGAGTGGCGAGTAACGATTATTAAGTAATGAATAGCGAATATTACGAAGTTGGTGACAATTACAGAGAGTAATAATTAAAGATTAGCGAGAAATTATTAATAAGTAAAATGTAGCGACTGACTCGGAGCGAGTAAGACAACTGATGTAAGTGTGATATTTATATATTTTCCTTTAGCAGAAGCCTTAAGCCGTCTGGGTTCTGTGAAATTATCTTTTAGAGGTGTTCTAACCACAGAACACATGAACAGTTAGCTGATTGTGCCGCTCTCTTGCTGCTTTCTGTTCTCTGTTGTCAGCTGTGAGGATCGAGCGATCGATCAATCAATTTCATCGGCGAACTCATCAAACTCATCAAACACTTGTGTCTGATGATAATGCCCACGACGCTCACGATACGTTGGCAAGTGTTCAATTAAAGGAAAGCAGCACCGTTTCATGGCCAGAGTGAGAGAAAGAGATTGAGGAAGAGAGGTAAGCGGATTAGGTTACAGCAGCGTGTAAAGGACAATAAAGGAAGAGCAGGCAACAGCAACGGGGCAACAGAAAAACAAAAAAAAAACAAAAAACAAAAAACACACACAGAGAAGCAATGCGCCAAATTCAACCACTGACAACAATGAGACCGATGCGAAGAGCACAAAAAAGGGCAAGAGATATAACAATGCGACGCAGGTGGCGTTGGCAAGTAGTGGGTGAAGAGGCAGAGGCAGAGGCAGGGTTAGGGCTCGGCGTAGGGGGAGGGCGCGCGCGTCATGCGCCAAATGGATTTGCAGCTTGTAATCCTTGTAACAAAAACTCAAGAGTTCCTGTGTCCGTGTCTGTGTTCGTGTGTTTGTGTGTGGTTGGGTATGCGTCATCAATTACAGGAGAATACGGATTATATTGAGATTATTTTAATGCGATTCTGATTAAATTTTTTATTGTTCATTTAGTCAAGTTTTTTGCTTAAGTCTTTCGTTTGCCACTCACACTTGACTCGATAAATCTCTCTCTCTCTCTCCTCCTCTTTCTCACTCTCTCTTGCTGGGTGGGTCAGCTTGTTACGCACATTTTCGAGAGTGGCACTCAGAAATGCCATCGACCAAATAACATTTGGGGGCAAGCTGCGTCTGTCTCAAGTGCAACTTGCTTGCAACTTCAAAACGCCTTCAGCCATGCAAATTGGTAAAAATTACATTTGCAACAAAATACACTAAAATAAGTACAGTACGCTCCAAGCAACTTATACACACACACACACACACACACACACAGTATAAGGATGAGGCAGGAGAAAGCGAAGGAGCAGCTGCTGTTGTCGTTAAGCGTTTCATTTCGACCCCCCTTACGCCCTTCCCCCTCCCCCAACGCCCCTCGCCACCAAGTGAACTGCTCATAAAACTTAAACGCAAGCAGGGCGGCCATAAAATATAAAGGAGTAGCGAAGCAAGCGTGCACTGAGAAAATTGAAGCACTTCTTGTGTCGCACCATGATCCAAAAATATATATTTCTACGGACTGCGTGAAGATTTATTGAAAATACCTGCAGATTGAATGTATACAAATATGATTTGTTTTCTAAAAGTGTTCTATAATAGATCAAATTATATAATTTTTTTTGCAAGATTATTTGTATTGTTTTAAGAAACATTTTCTATGAAACCTCAAAAATTATGCGGCATTGCTAAATAAACTATAATAATATTTAGCAATCAATTTGTATGAATTGCTTTGTTAATTTAGAAGGAAAATTAACAATTTAATCCAATTTAGAAGAATTAAAGAATTTGAACGAAAATTTAAATTTTATTTATATATATTTTTTAATGTGTACGAAATAACAAGAAAACAGCAACAGTCGCATTGAACACTTTCATGGATATGTCATCGATGTTGTTGTCGATAATGATGCGGCCCATTTGGTCGAGCAAAATGGCGATTTTATGCGCATGTCCTGCACAGGATGACTACAACAACAACACCGAAAACAAGAACAGCAACAGCAGCGCGTGGCCTCATAAAACGCAGCAGTGCCACCGAAAATGATTAAATTTGCAACGCCTGCGAAAAGGGTATGCGTGTGTGCGTGTGTGTTCATATACAAATTGATATATCTGTACTGCGAAATCGTAAATAAAATTATTCAACTCAAATTCGCACTCAGTAGCGGAATGACGTAGCTCCAGAGTTGCCAACCTTAATGCAGAGAAAGCCAAACCTTTTCAAAAAGTTCTTATTTCGAAGATGGTGTCATATAGCTGCTATTGGAACAATCGTTTGAATGTTGAGCTTTAAGTTGTGGTAGCGAGATCAACGTAGACGCAGATGTGACAGCTGCTAATACAACACAACAACACAACTGTAGCATGTTGAGCTTACAGCAACATCTGAAACATGAAACATCTAAATAAATTGTTCAATACATAATAATATCTCAAAAGGGTATGCAAACTTCGGATATTTTATTCACATTAGCAATGTTGATAAACAGATGGAAATTCCATAAGCAAATAGTTAAAACAGGCGCAAAATAACATCGACTTTAAATAGAAGTATAATGCTCAATCAATTAAAAGAAAAATATTAATATGATTTGTTGTTTCAATCTATATTTCAATATGAGACGTCAAGAGCAACTTTCTTAGACATGTTTTTAATAAATACAGAGTTATATTTTAATTCGAATAAATAAATACAAGACAAACAAGTGTTACACACACAGCGTGGTCAAATTGGATTATTAGTATTTTCTTGTGGCGCCAAAAAGTATGCAACACAAACTGTGAGCAATATTTGGGCTTCAACTGCTTGCAAGCCACCCGTTCGGCAGCTGAAAGGTATGTTAGAAAAACTTTGAAATTGTAACTTTCGACTTATTTGAAATGAGCGTGGGGAGAGACAGCGACGCATTAGAAAGCAACTTAATTAAATTGTAATTGGATATTTTTTGATCTGCTGGCATCGACCACAAACAAACAGCGTGGCGTCTCCAACCGTCAACTCCCGCCAATTCCACCACCCTCCTCCTAATGCCGCCTTCATTTGATGTCACTCTTGCTGACACGTGGCTGCGGGGCTGTCTGGGGGGCAGGAGGGTGGATGATTTTGTTTTTAGTCTAGTGTTGGGGTTGCCTTTCGCTACGCGTGCTTGTCTTTAAAGCTGCGTACACGCGTTTCCATAACATACCCCCGCCTGCGCACTCCAAACGCCCCCCTCTGTCAGTCGCATGGGATGCGTTGTTTATGCAACGAAACTAATTTAAAGTACTTCACGCGGCGGTCGACTAATCCGACGCACTGTGTGTGATAACTTTGTTAAGTTTGTGTTGTTGTTGACGCATACGGGACAGCAATAACAATAAGCTGATAGTAATTAAATAGCACAGACACGTGCCTCAAGTCCCTCCAGCGAACCGATGTGAAAGCCCAAAAGTTAACATTTTATTCATTAAAAGTCATAGTTGAGAGTTTTGAACTTGCTGCAAATGGCATTTAAATGATCTGAAGTGCTTTAGAATTGCGTAAGTTTCTGTCTACTGGTTCAGTTAAAGCCGACTATTGACAATTAGGCGTTTATTGTAATTGCTTGCTGTACATTTTTCACTTTTTCAAACGGATTAAAGAAAAAACGTTGTGAAAATGGATGATCGTTAACACATAAACATAATTAATCACTTCCTATTTGCTACTCACTGTTAATTTGTTACACGCAGTCTTTATTATACCATTTGTTTTATTTTAATGGTCAATTTAATTTTTTATTTAAGATCCTTTAATTATTAACTTTAAATTCAATTCAAAATATTCCATTATAAAGCGCTTTGTTGACATTTTTAAATCCACATTAAATAAATATAAAAATAGCAAAATTGTGTTCATATTTGTGTTTATTAATTACACACACACACATTTATATTCACGTGCACACACACACAAAGACAATCCCTCATAGCTTGTGCAGCTTATGGTTGACTCTTAGGCATATTCATGGAATTCTCTTTGATGGGGCGCCACAACAACGTTGGCGTCGACTTTACATGAAGTTGCACAATAAATTTGGCAAAATCTTTTAACGAATAAAATTGCATTTGTTGACGACTAATTGAAAGCCGCAAAGCTTTTGCCAATGGGCTTTGTCTGTCAGTTTGTTGTTGGTCAGAATTGTATGCGTGTGAGTGTGTAGGTGTTGTGAGTGTGTGGGTGTTGTGATTGTGTGGGTGTTTGCGTGTTTGCTTGACACAATTGAGACTTGGGCACATAAGCGACCAAGTTGACAACATTAAGAATTGTGTGCTCCAAAACTTTTAATTGAAATAATTTGTTTTTGGATTGATAGCAGCAACAACAACTACAAAACCCACTTCTGGCAGCAAAAACTTTATTATTTATTTTCCATTTACTGCATGTGCTCTGAATGCCTGAATGCCGCTTGTGTTTAACAAATTGGCACTGAGTGTGAATTGTTTTCAAAACATTTATAAATAGCCTAAATACAGAGGCCATTATTCAACTCAAACGTTCAACTAACGAGGTAGCTAAAAAGTATGCAGATAATGCACAATTTGATAGCTAACAAACTGAATAAGCGACGAGTGTATCTAATGAGATAGCAGATAGCAGATGAGCATATTTAACAAGTTAGTAACGAATTAATTGCTTGGCTTAATGCTTTGAATTTTATTTAAACAATGTAGCCCTTGTCAGCCGCAAACTTATAGCAAACCCGCTTAAAGCAAATGCGACGTGGTGCAGCCGTAACTTGTGTGGTGGTGCTTATGCTGCTGGGGGTTGTTGTGCTCAAGATTGTCTCACTCGGTATCAGTGTTGTGCTCTCACTCGTTACTTCATCGCTCTCGCTGCTGGCGGTGCTTTCTGTTGTATTGTCCGCTGTTGTGGACTCCGTTTCTGTGCTGATGTCCGTTGTCGAATTGCCCGCCAAGGTGGTGCTCTCCCCATCGTCTATTGTTGTGGTGCTGGCATTATTGGGAGTCTCGGTGCTGGTCGCATTATCCGCCACATCGGCATCGAGAAAGTTCAACAGTACATCCATAAATTTCAGTATCGAGCCGCGATCTTCAGGGGTAAAGGCCTGCGCATTGGTGCCACTACTTAACCATGCACCGCTTGCCACCGCTATGAGTAGCAGCACCACAAACCGTTGATCGTTGCTCAAGGCTGTCATTGTTTTTGGGCTTATTTCTTGAGTTGTTAGTCAAATCTTCTTTCTAACTGGCTGCCAACAAGTCGTGATTTATGCATTTATACAACCTTCAGCTGTCTGATATCTCTATGCGGAAATCGGTGACCATCCAAAACTGCACGTGCATGACCTGAGCTACCAGATTACATGTTGACTATGCTAATATCTGGGTCAGCTTCTAATTTGCTCTAACAGCTGAGCAGCTGAGTTTTGAAGCATATCGGGTTGAGTTTTTAACCAGCTCTGTAATCAGTGGATATTCTGAATTGCAGATTGACTACTGAATGAACGCAGCGCATGAGAATGATTATAATTAATCTTTTTGTTTTATAATCAGCTATTTTATAACAGTACACTGATTAATGGTAACTTTTGAATGTACGAAATAATACTATGATTATCGCAATATTCTTCGAAGATTGAACCAAAAAATATATAGTCAGATAGCTAACAAACTTATTTAGCGTGTGAATAGTATTTTTAGACAGCAGTGACTTTTACTTAAAGGAGTTTTACTGGAAGTCTTCCAACTTGGAGCTTCGTTTCTCTTCTGCATTCTTTTCAGTGTAGCTGAAATTTATTAATATTTCTGAAAACAACGTTTCTTAAGAATTATTTCCTGAGCAGTTGCCATTCGCATTTATTTGCATATGTGTCCCAAATGGATTTTCAACAGCTTAAACTTTGAATGGGATGATTTTTGTTTGCCTAACGAGGGTGAATTTTATTTAACTGCCTTTTCTAATAAACAGCCTGTATTTGAGCAGAAATATGAGTATTTTGTAAATAACTTTTTGACTCTGCACATGGGCTTAAGAAGATTATACAGTTTACCAAAACAAACAAATGTTTCTCAATTTGCATTTTTTCATATCATCATAACAACTTTAAAAAACGAGAGGGGCAGATACTTGATTAAAAAAATTAATTTGCAAATGAAATATGCTACGGATCATGATGTTATAATTTTAATTACAGTCATATTTAAATATTAACCAAGCTATAGCTGTGAAATGTTTGGACCAACACCAAACCATTTCCAAAAGGATTCAAACGAATTGAAAATCGATTCAGTTTAGTTCTCTTTCCACGCCCATTAATCATTCAACATAATTGAACAAGACGAGTTTCTATGGATCATAGAGAGATAAACCGCAGATAAAAAAAAATGAAGCAAGAAGAATGCGAATGAAAAAAAAACGCCAGCAATAATTAAACAATTATCAGCAACGATGGCGTTTGCCGATTTGGGAGCACGTTTGCGGCATACCAATCATGCCATGACAGACACGAATATCGCTTGGGTTGTCTCTTATCAGCAGTGCATTTAGTCACAGCAGCATTTCTGTTGATAAGCATCAAAGTAGAAAGACATCGAATCTGAATAAAAGCTCGTGGCAGCAACTGCAACAATATCAATCACTCAATTTGCGATCATCAAGACACTTCTTGAATATTCTCGGGTTGCACAACACAATTTACACAAGCGGCATAGACACGGACACAACATGTGGCGACTACAGCTGTTCCTCATACTATCCACCTGCTTTCTCATACCCCTCGAGGCAAAGCCGACAACCATCACTCGCTTAACTCATACAACAACAACAGCAGCAACAGCAACAACAGCAACAACAACAGCAACAGCAACAAGGCAGTCCAATCACATAGGACGTCTGGCGGCCAAGGATCTGGCTGATCTGCTTATGGCCAGCATGCAGGCGCGTGGCATTAAGTTGACATCGAAACAGGAGTTGACGGTAAAGTCTCTGCGAGACATGGAATCAATGGAGCTACAGGATGGTGTCGTACTGATGCAACTGGGCATGGATTTCATCATTGATGTGCTGATCGGCAGCAATGCAAATGCCAGCTGCGATCGTGTCATCAAGGACATTAAGAACTCAAAGGATAAGAATAGTTTGACGCTTAGCCTGAAATCATTCATGGCCCTGTGCACCTTCAACAACATTGAGTGCTCACAGAAGCATGTGGAGCAAATGATCCAGAGTACGACGGTATCCAAACAGAGCGATACAGGCATACTGGGTAGTCGGAATACACGTACGGCCCTCGAGCAGGCTGCGAAAACACCCAACATTAGAGGCGATCGGGACGCCATTACCAATTTTCTGCAGGCCCGGACTTTGCCCGAGCTGAAAGCCATATTGAGTACACTTTTGCAGGTGTGCGGTGCATCCAGTCTGGAGACACAGAACATTGTACAGAATATGATAGAAAGTAAGTACCAATACAAGTGGAGTGTACTATATAACGAGTATATGTAACGAGAAGAACAAATTAGACGAGTGGTAAGCGACGCGTAGCGAGTGACGAGAATCAAGAGGCTAGCATCGAGCACTTCAGCAAGCATCGATAGACTATATAGCAACTTAAAGCGGCTTCCACATAACTAGCTATAAATAATTAGGTAGCTTCAAATTTTAAAATTGTTTTCTAAGCTGTATATTTATTTTCAAATTTTTAGTGGGTCCCAAGGACAGCGGCAAGAAAAATGGCATCAGTCTGCTGCAGATTAATGCCTTCAGCACTCTAATTAACTCCCTGATGGATAGCCTGACTTCCATTGCCCATGGCAACAAGAGCGGCTTCTGTGCAGCTACACCTGACAGCTGGATTGTGCGGTTAATAAACATGGGTGTGGCTAAGGTCATTATTATGAGTTTGATGACGGCCCTCGATAGATCGCTGCCTCCCTCGCCCAACTCGCTCATTCGTAAGTAAATAGTAACTCAACGTATAAGCTTATAACTTATAATCAAAAGTAATTACAGAGAAAGGCAACGCTATGGCCAATTTGGTGGACGCCGATGTGCCACTTAGCAAGGGCGCACCCACATCAAAACGTGCCAGTGGCCTCCTCCCCAATATTGGCAACCTAGGAGGCAATACAATTACATGTAGGTCCCGTTTGAATGCAGATTTTTTGATAATTTATTAAGGATTCGATTCTCATTTCTCTTTCAGCTGGTCCCAAAAATATCATTGACGGAAATAACAATGTCGTTACGCAACTTGTTAGTGCTGATGTTCCCGTGGCAGCCGATGTTTCCGCATTGACCAATACCTTCGGCTCAGTTGAAGGTGCAAATGCCATTGGCGGTGTCGGCGGTGTTGGTAATTCTGTACTCCCCTCCGGATCTTCTCGCTCTCAAAATATTGCAAACAATCTGGGCAATACCATCAACAGTAAGTTAATTGAAACTAAAGAGCAAAGTTTCCTTACTTAAACTTTTAAAACTTTACAGTGGGTCCAAAAAATATAATTAGAGGGGATGGCAATACTGTGGTTAAGGCAGTTGATGCTGATATTCCCATTGCGGCTGGCGTTGGTCTTCTCAATACAGTAACAGGCGTAGTTAATAGCGGCTCTACAGGCAATGCTGGTAACTCTGGAGGTGGTAATGGAGGTGGCCATAGTGGTGGCCATAGTGGTGGCCATAGTGGTGGCCATAAAGGTGGACATAGAGGTGGACATAGAGGTGGCTCTAGAGGTGCTATTGCTAACCAAGGTGGCAATACCATCAATAGTAAGTACTCTTAATATAAATTAAAATTTTGGCTTTTACAATCCGCTAATTTCAATTACAGTGGGTCCAAAAAATATTATTAAAGGAGACGGCAATACTGTGGTTAAGGCAGTTGATGCTGATATTCCTATTGCGGCTGGCGTTGGTATTCTCAATACAGTGACAGGTGTGGTTAATGAAAACTCTGGCGGCTCCGGTGGCTCCGGTGCTGGTGGTGTTTTGGGCGGTGGTGCCGGCGGTCTTTTGGGCGGTGTTGTTGGTACTGTCGGTGGTGTTGTAGGCGGCGTTGTCGGTACTGTCGGAGGACTTTTGGGCGGCGGAGCAGGTGGTGTCTTGGGCGGTGCTACCGGTGGTGCCGGTGGACTTGTAGGAGGAAGCACTGGAGCTGCTACTGGCTCTTCTCGCTCTCAAAATATTGCCAACAATTTAGGCAATACCATTAACAGTAAGTTACTTTAAGCTAAATAGGAAAATTTCCTTTCCTAATCAAACAATTGAATCTTTTCAGGGGGTCCGAAAAATGTGATTCATGGTGACGGCAATACTTTCATAAATGCAGTTGATGCTGATATTCCCGTTGCGGCCGGTGTTGGCATTCTGAATACAGTGACAGGCTTGGTTTCTAGCGGCTCTAGAGGTGGCTCAGGAGGTGGCTCAGGAGGTGGCTCTGGAGGTGGCTCTGGAGGTGGCTCAGGAGGTGGCTCTGGAGGTGGCCACAGTGGTGGCCATAGTGGTGGCCATAGTGGTGGACATAGAGGTGGCTCTAGAGGTTCTATTGCTAACCAAGGTGGCAATACCATCAATAGTAAGTACTCCTAAAATAAATTAAAATTTTGGTTTTTACAATCCGCTAATTTCAATTACAGTGGGTCCAAAAAATATTATTAGAGGAGACGGCAATACTGTGGTTAAGGCAGTTGATGCTGATATTCCTATTGCGGCTGGCGTTGGCATTCTCAATACAGTGACAGGCTTGGTTTCTAGCGGCTCTAGAGGTGGCTCGGGAGGTGGCTCAGGGGGTGGCTCAGGAGGTGGCTCAGGAGGTGGCTCAAGAGGTGGCCATAGAGGTGGACATAGAGGTGGCTCTAGAGGTTCTATTGCTAACCAAGGTGGCAATACCATCAATAGTAAGTACTCTTAAAATAAATTAAAATTTTGGTTTTTACAAGCCGCTAATTTCAATTACAGTGGGTCCAAAAAATATTATTAAAGGAGACGGCAATACTGTGGTTAAGGCAGTTGATGCTGATATTCCTATTGCGGCTGGCGTTGGCATTCTCAATACAGTGACAGGTGTGGTTAATGAAAACTCTGGCGGCTCCGGTGGCTCCGGTGCTGGTGGTGTTTTGGGCGGTGGTGCCGGCGGTCTTTTGGGCGGTGTTGTTGGTACTGTCGGTGGTGTTGTAGGCGGCGTTGTCGGTACTGTCGGAGGACTTTTGGGCGGCGGAGGAGGTGGTGTCTTGGGCGGTGCTACCGGTGGTGCCGGTGGACTTGTGGGAGGAATCACTGGAGCTGCTACTGGTTCTTCTGGCTCTCAAAATATTGCTAACAATTTAGGCAATACCATCAACAGTAAGATTATTTTGAAATTCTTTTGGCGAGCCAGAGATTATTAATTCTATTCATTTGCTAGTGGGTTCCAAAAATGCTGTCTTGGGCAACAACAACAAAATTTTATCCCTAGTTGATGCAGCCGTGCCCGTGGGTCTCGGTGTAGGCTTGCTCAACAATGTTGTGGGCGCTGTTACTGGAGGAGGTGGTTCTGCGAATGACATTCAAGTGGTTGATCGACACGGCAACCTACTCATGAAGATCAAGGATGATAACGCCAGCGGCTCTGTTGGCAATGACTTGTCCCAAACCATTAACAGTGAGTAAACCGAATGTAACTGCCCTTGCTTGCACCAACTACATCAACTACATCTTAATTTGTAGGAGGTCCCAAGCAAGTCGTTATGGGCGACGGAAACACAGTCTTGAAGCTGGTCAATTTGGATGTGAATGCGCTGGCTAACATAAATCTGGCTAATGCCATCAGAGGCAGCAGCGGCGCCTGCAATGGCATCGCCAATAAGTTTGGCAACGAGCTAAACAGTGAGTATGAAATTCCCGATGGTATCCTAGGAATTGTTAATGTGATTGGAACTTGCTTACAGCTGGACCGGACAGTGTGATTGAAGGTAATCAGAATACGGTTGTGACCTTGTTAAATCTCGACCTGAGTTTGTTAGCCGGTGTGAGTGCATTGAATACGGTGATTGGAGAAGTGGGCAATGATTGTCCGGAACCGACGACTCCCGAGCCTCCGACGGATGAGCCACCAACTGATGAGCCACCAACTGACGAGCCACCAACTCGTTATCCACCTACTCCAACACCACCAACACCACCTACACCAACACCACCCACCCCAACTCCACCAACCCCAACTCCACCAAACCCCAATAAGTGCTATCGTCGCTACTGTCGCAAGTGGCGAACTCGTCCCAATTATATGTGCCGCCATAAATGCGGCGGTCCGTTCGTTTACCGGCCCTAAATGACTCGGACTTCAACCGAAGTCTGACGTGAGTTGTTTGAAACTTTCCAATCTAACTTGTCTCTTTCCCCAAGCACCTGTTATGTAATATCGTAAAGCTTGCACCTATTTATTTTACTATAGTTTACCTATTTTATAAGTGAACTTGTTCAATTTGCTCGATGTATTGAAATACAACTGAATTATTTATTATAAAATGAAAAGTTTTCATTTTGGGCGGAGAAAAGGTAGCCCTAACATTGGTTCCTATCAAGACGCGATGGATTTAAAAATTTAAGACATGCTCGCAAAGCCAACCAATGAAGTCACTCTAAAATGTAAGAGGTTGGAGAAGTGTCCGACTAGGAGATACCTTTTATAAAAAAGTGGAGTATTCCTTAACATAATATTTCACACTAATAGCTGCTCGTTGTAAATTTGCATCTTTTCACTCGTCACTCGTTACAAGACCTTCTCGTTACGCGACACTTTCAAAAATTAATTCGCTTCATTAATGCAAAATCGTTTTACTCTATACACTTCACTCGCTACAATTTGTACTCGCTATGCATCACTTGCTATTTACTCGTTAGTTGTTGAAAAATTCTTGTCACTGATACGCCTTCAAATTTATGATACCCTATTTGCAAATTGTATTCAAAACACGGTATAAAAGTTATATAAAATGCAATTACATTCAGAGCGCAAAAGTTTAGGTAGCAAAAAATGTGGGTGAAGGCATAAATAAAAGATAACATTATTAACACCCAAGAGCCAAGTGAAGCACCCCGAGTAGTCAGTTAGACAAATGGGCGTCAACGTTGACTCAATACGGAAAAGTTACTCTTTGTCAAACTCACCTTTGACCCCTCTTACACCCCCCTCCAATCACCACCCACTAAATTGGAATGTAGAACGTGCTCACGCCACATAAAATCATAATGAAAGCAATAAAAATATCACCAAAGTTGCTCAACAACCAAAAACACCAGAAACAAAAACCAAAAAAAAAAAAAAGGTAAAACAAGTACAAAACGCAACCAAATTGAACAAAACAAAGCAGACTCTTGAGTTGCCGTCTCGCAGCCATAATTGATGACCTGAGATAATTTGTTATGGTTATGAAACGTGAAACAAACACTGGGCGGAAGTACACACTTAAAATACGGAAACACAAAATATGGGGCGCAATTATAAATTGTAGACCAACAGCTTGTGGGTTGTCTCTATCGCAATCGTTATCACTGTCTCTTTCTCTCTCTCGCTCTATCTCTCTCTCTCTCTCTCTCTCTGTGTGTGCGTGTGTGTGTGTGGGGTTCCCGAAAAAGTGGCCCAAAGACAATGATGATGATGTTGGCAAGCTGCTAATGATAAGCGATAAGCGTGAACTTCACTGGGTGTTAAATATTATGCGACACCTCTGGGACACAATTTGTTCCACGCAGTATGCTCAAAAAACTCTTAATGATTACCTTTAGGCGGGTTCAACTCTTGGCAAACCTATTTTTCACTTTTCTTAAAGCTTGTAAATTCAAATTTGTTTTATGTTATGAAGAACTTTGTTATATTGCAGCTAACTTAAATGACAGTTAATTACTGTAAGTATGATATCAACTTCATCAAAGCGTCTTAATATATACATTTCATTTTATTTTTCATAAATCATTTAATGGATCATATAATATTACTTTGTATGTACATATACATATTATATGTTATAGCACTTTGAAAGGATAAGTAGCATAATATAATCACGGGATTATTTTAATGTAGACATTATATTTATAATATTGGTGAAAGATTTTATTCATGAAAGAATTCGATAATTTAATGACAATCAAATAAAATATTCCATAATACAAATTCTAAGTAAGATATAAGAGCTTATTAAAAATATAAGCATTCACAATAAGGCTTAGGGTTAAATTGATGAGATCTTTGTATAATACATACTTAAGCTTAAGGAAAGTGATGCTGAAAGAAATGTTTATAGATGAAGTTCGGCAAAGATATAGAATTCTGTAGTTTAGGCTCATCTTCGCCATTTACTAAGTTAAAGCTTGCCTAAAATACAAATTTGCCGAATAAATCAATATTGAGGCAAAAGTTTTTTATGCGACGCTTTGAATGTATTTTAGAGGCGAGCATAAAAAAATGCAACAGACTTTTAGGCGCAGACATGTTTATGTATTTGTCTGACAGCCAGGCAGACAAGTTCCGCAACTTACTCATCCCTCAGCTGCTCGACTGTCTATCTCTCTCTGTCTTTCCGTTTGTCTGTTTGCCTATCTGTCTCCGACCCTGTTTTTTTGTTTGTTTTTTTTTTCTTCTTTTGCCAGCACTGTTTGCAATTCTATGGCCCGTATCCTGAGTTCAGGTTGTACTTGTAGTGTAGTACATCTGTCTACAAGATTCTGTTTTTTTTCTTTCTTTTTTTTTTGTTGGACCCATTCTTATACCCTTGCTGAAGGATAATATGATTTTGGCATGACATATGTAGTGCATGGAAAGATGAGTATTCGTATATCAAATTTTAAAATGTTTTTGGAATCACACAAAAAAAAAGAAAGGGTAATGAGTTTTAATTGTCTTATATACGTCAGTTTCCAGTGAAGGTTAGGGGTATAGTTAAAGTAGTAGAAGTTGTATGTAGGCAAGGGTATTCGATTTGAGAACATAAGCTAGAACATCATAGCGAAGATACTCTGCTTTCTCTGCTGTCATCAACTTGCTTTCGCTCCGCTGTGTTTTCTGCTCTTTTCTGCTCTCTTTTTATCTATATATCCCTATGTTATTTTGTTTTTATTATTGTACATAATTTGCACGTGCTACGAATATCTAAAATTTACGAGCGAGAGCGAAAGTGCTCACAGGTCGCATGGGTGGTTGCTGGGTGTGTCGATGGGTGGCGTGGTGTGCGATGAGTTTTTCTGGCCACATGACACTAGTTATATTGTCCCCGCTCGGTCGTCAGAGCAGGGGGGAGTGAACTGTTGTCATGTACATTATTTTGCTTTCAAACGTTCCGAGAAAAAGTAAAAGTTGCAAATGCTTTAAATGAATAGAGAGCTAACACTCGCACCACAACCGGCGGTTTCTTCTTCCTTCAAATCTTTTTTTTTTTTTTGGTTGATTCAAGCTGCCCCCCGGGAAGCAGAGAGTTGCTTGGAGGGAGAGGGGGAGGGATGTTGAGTTTGCTTACTTTAACACGTTTTGTGTCCAAAAATAAATGTGAACTAATGCATTTTTATTAATATATACAAGCGTGCAGGGAATTTCAAGAATCCACATGATCATCATCCTGATGATGATTGAGCATAAAATCCACAAATGTTTTTTAAATGCAGTGCCAATGTGTGGGTGGTGGTGTGCTGTGTGTGTGCTGTGTGCTGTGTGTGTGTGTGTGTGTGTGCTAGTGCTCGTGTGGTTGTATCTACTAAGTACTACGCCACTGACTTTGCAAATCCTGTTAAAATATTTAGCACAGGGCGTACGTGTTAACATCCTTGTTGCTGTTGTTTGCTGCTTGTACTAAATCGGACGAGTTAAGGCTGCCCCACTTCGGCAACAGCGTCAGCCGCTTTTCGCCGGTCACATGTTGCTATGAGTCAGCAGCTTATAATCGACCATTTACAAGTCTTAAGATAAGCTCAAATCCAGCTATCTCTCTCACTCTCCCACTCTCTTTCTCTCCCTCTCTCGCTCGTTGTCAAGGAGCGAGTTAGTTATTCGAGGCGGTTAATGAACTTTTTATGCATGCCTTAGTACTCGTGCTCATATGTACAAATCATCAATTGTATCAACCAAAACACACACACTTATCGTAATTTGGCCCTACCTGGCAACGTCCGCTGAGCGGATTTTCTCAATAGTAAACATCAACAATTACTAGCACAACTTTTATCCCACTCTTTTGCATTGCTTTCTTCAGCCGATTTTGCATATTCAATTACTGTCAATTGTGTCTGCCGAAAATGACAGCAGTTGTGTCGTAAAGTCCGTCAAGTCGCGAGTTAAAAGCGACGAATAAGTAACCAACGTGTAATACTTTGTGAACTGTAAGTTTTGGCAAGGAAAAAAATAAATAGATTTAGCAAGTATATGCAAAACTAAATTTAATGTGATTGAAAGTTAATAAAAGAAATATAAAAACGAGTAGCAAGTAGCGAGAAAATAGCGCACAGTTCAGCGAGACCATTTATAATTTAGAGAAATAATATATATAAAAACAAACCGCACTCGATGCGATAAGTCAAAGAGATTATTCCATTTATTTGAAGTTAGCTAATAGTTGGCTTACAAACTGTTAATATTACTCGCTGCAGATGAGTCGGTTGCCTGGTAGCTATTACTGTGATGGAATGCCGGAGACTGTCGCAGTTTTGGCAGACAAACTCGCACATGCAGACCTCATTACTCACACGCCTGGCGCCTGGCGCCTGTGGTCCATTTGCATGGCAGACGAGTGCAAACGGACGCATGTAAATGACCCAGACTTTATTATCCACTTCTTTTCAATCCGCCGACGGAGAGAAAATAGAAAGGAAAAGCCAAAAGCAGTGGCCGAAAAACTAGCAACAAAAAAGAAATGCAAAAGCGGCACTTTGCATACTAAGAACCAGAACGGCTTCAGAGGGTGGTAATGGCTACTGTTAGGGGTTGGGGGTTGGGTGCTGGGTGCTGGGCGCTGGGCGCTGGGTACGGTTTGTTGCTTCTAAAGAATAAATAGAAAAGGCAAATAAGGCGCCGTTCCATTGACATTTTTGGGTTTCATTGTAAAGCAATTTAAATTATTGTGTATATTTTATTTCTATTTTTTTCATCCATTTTTTAATTCCCTGTAATCAAGGAAATGGGGTACACATGTTTTTTTATTAGAAATAAATGTATTTCCATCTACTATATTAAAGGGTATGGGAAGTCCTTAGAAGGCTGGAGTCAAAAACAAGCAGTATCTAAATTGAATATAAACTTCATTAAATTAGATATTTCGAAAATTGCAATCGATTCTGGACAGAAATACATTTTGTACCACCAGCATTATTTGCAAATTGTTTCGTAATGTTTGGGTATGTCCAAGTCGTGCATACTAATCTTGAGCGTACTAACTTCACATCTGGCTTTCTTTTTATTTTTTGGAAACTTAAGCATTCAGGACATCGTGTCGCGGTTCGTGTCCTGCTTCTGATGTGTCTAGTCGTCTTCGTGCCGTAAGC